ATGACCTTTCTGCCTTCCTTCAGCTCTTTTACGGAGACACCTGACTCCCACGATAATTCTTGTTGTTAAGGCAAAAGCAAAAAAGATAGAACTGGGCGATGACTGAAAATAGCTAACCCACTTGAGAGTGATAAAAGCATCTGTTGAAAATCTGGTAACCAGATCTCCTTGGTACCAGAAAAAAAACCACACACACAAAAAAACTGGTGGGTGGTGTACACGGTACAAAGAAAGGGAGTCCCTGAGTGTCAGCATCTGGCGAGGCCACGTGTAGCATAATCTGATTAGTTTTCAGTTCCACACCCACAAGTTGAAAGATAAAAACGCACACCCCTCCTCCCCGAGGAGGTAAAAATCTTCGAGCATCAACACCACATTTACATTCTGCAAGTCAGCCTCTTCCATGGCCCGATTTACATCTTGACTTCTCCAGTGGTGCGGTGGAAGTTCAGTGATGAGAGACGAGCTCGCGTCCCTTTCCAGTTACCACATCCAGCAGACTCAAGATTGCCTTGCTTTGATCTGGGAGACATTCCTTCATTCAGTTTAAACTGAAGTGATTAAGCTGGAGATGAAGCCTCTTCACATCTTCTGCCATGCCTGGGATGTGATAATTGAATGTTAGCTTCTATGGTCCATTTTAACATGTTCTGAGGCCTTCCTAGACTGTCAAGCTGAAGCAGCAGCACAGGCACTGGCTGGATGACTGCAGTTTGCACTGACTTTATTGAATTCTCTTAGTACTATTTTCTCGTTTGGTACATGTAACATGGCCAAAATTCATACTGGGGTGAATTAATAGCAATGCCTTCTGTCTCCAGAAACTACTACTCAGGTTGGTGTTTGTCTTGAAATAGCAGAGTGGTGGTGAGAGACCAGAATATTGCTCGTCATTTTTGAGAGAATAATGAATTTCTAATACCTAACATGTTTTATACTATGACAGCAGACAAATCAGAACAGTTTGTATAGCTTTTGTCTATTAACTCTCAATTTTTTTCATCTCTTTCCCATCTCCTTGCCTACTATCTGATATATTCCAATGGCTGCTGGGTCCCATCTTTATTCAGTAACTCATGGGGCAGCCTCAATCTTTTTGACTGCATTTCATATCCAGGATTGCCCATCTGCATAACCATTTTGTCCACCTCCAAGCCCAATCCATTCCACAAAATCATCTTTGTAACAGAGCAACCAGCACTAAAGGCAATGTTGCAGGCATTGGGATAGCTGCAACATGATTTTATTCTATTCTTTATGTAGCTTTTATATTGCTTTTTAATGTACTCACTGCTGCAGCAGATCACAGATTCTCCCTGAGCTATCCACACTTGCTACCCTAATCTTTTTTCCTGAAATAAAATTACGCCTCATGACTGAGCCCAAGGAATACAGCTTTTCTTAGTGCACTCCCCTGGGATCAGGAATTTCTCTGTCAACGGACACATATATCAATGAGAGATGAAAAGCAGCTTGTGGAATGAGTTTTAAACATGTATCACATATTTCATTGCTGCTGCTTATGTGCTACTCAGAAGGCCTTTTTAGAGTGTTTTCAGCCCATACCTCATGGTTCCTCTGTACTTAATAGGATTTCTTTTTTTTTTTTTTTTTTTTTTTTTTTTTTTCTGCACAGGAATCAGGGCAATAGATTTATTTAAGTTGCTTACACTTCTTTGTGAACACCTCCTGAATATGAAGTTTTTGTTGAGTTTCCTGCTTACTTTTAATAGGAACACATCTTAGCTTTTATCAAACCATAGTGACCCATAACGTGTGAAGCTGTAATGTAATCTCATCTCACTAGAATGTTACACTGGGGGAGTGTGGCTCCTTCTGTGGATCTTTGTCACAACATGACTCCGTGTTACAGCCCTAAATTTTAAATGTCCAAAAGGGGAAGGCAAGTCTGTTTTCAGCCCCTTGCTGGTTTCTGGGGACTTGCAGTTCCATTGATGCCTGGGGTCTTCCATATGTGCATATAGGTCTCTTTTCCCTAAATTCTTTTTTTTTTTTTTTTTTTTTGTAGAGGGGGGAAGGGAGGGTGTGGAGATGACAACACCCAAACCCACGCATCTCTAGATCATTCTGATTCAACCAGATGTGGAAATCTTTCTTCTTATTTCTTTTTTCCCCCCCTCTTTATTTTACCTCTTCTTTTCCTTCTTTTTTAATCCCTACCTACAGTAAAGAACACTGCTATCCTGCTAAATTTTGTCTTTATGTGATAGACTTAGTTCATTATAATAATAATACACACAATTAAACTCTTTCCTAGAAAGGCTATGAACAAATAAACAGAACATGATGAAAACAAAGCTGGGGGTTATTGGTCACAGGTTGGTGCAGGAGTGGTGACCTATATAACAAGTGTTCATTGAGTTATCTGAAGAGAGTTAAAAAAGCTTGTGCATCTGTCTGTTAGTGATTCTTTAGCAAAAAAGGGCACTGTGTGAACACAGGACAGAATTTTTCTACAAAAAATCAAAATAAAATTCACTATGGGGGTGGATTTATTCCCAGATAATGTCAGATAAAGCTGTGTGAGGCCAGAGATAGGCTAATCGTGTTTGCCTTATTTTGAGCCCCCTTGAATTTTCTGAAATATGATTGGGAATGAGTAGAAGAGAAAAGGGGATGGGAAGGAGATGCCTTTAAAAAACAGAATGGAAAATATGACTGGCAGAGGGAGAAGAAAATATATAAAAATTGTGGAGGGAAAAAAGATGGAGAAGGAGAAATCCCAAAAGAATACTGACTGCGTCTGTGTGTGAAAGTAATTTCTTCAGATTTAGCAGCACCCAACTTGTACAAATTGTAATTTAAATCAATTGAAAAGATAATGCTAAAGACTACCAGATTAGATGTTATCCTGCTAATTAATCTGTCATTATGGAGCTGTTACAAGCCCACCAAAACACATTCCCCATTTAAAGTAATTGATACCTCCTGAAAAATGGAGTAGCCACCCATGTCAGCTCTAACATAGAGCAGCACCTTCTCCTTAAGGAGAAAGCTCCTGCCTACCCTGTGTTTTTAGACTGAGTCATCCTGGGGGAGAAAAATCATACTTCAAAGTACAAAATAATGGGTCAACTAATTAATTTCTTTAAATTACAGAGAAGTTTCTCCAAAATTAAATTCCATCCAGTTTCTTCTCATCTTTCAAACTAAATCCTTTACTTCTCTATCTAGAACCATGATTTCTGTAAATCTAGTTTGGATTTAGCTGCCTGGTACTGACATCGCTTTGCCCATATGTCATGTAGGCACCTGGGCCCAGTTAGATGATGTGGACCCATGTACTTCAGGACTGTAGTGAGAGGTACCATTAAAAGGCATGTTTGTGAAGAGTGGCAGTCTGATAGTTCAATCTCAAGATTCAGTGGCCTCATTTATGCTTTTAAAATAAATTAACCGGTGCCAGAATTGGTTCTCTGGCCCTAAGACTGATGGGACAATCTGACCATGTCTGCAAAGCTGAACTCTCGTAGCCCCCAGACAGATGGCTGTGCTCACACTGATGAGGCACGACACAGATTACCTCAGGCCACTGGAAGCGTTCTAGTCCAAACCCCAGCAGGGGCCCTTCTTATTGTTAAAAGCATAAAAATATCCTACCCAGCTATTGATTGCGCCTGTGCCCCAGCACTGCTTACAGGGATGGAGGCAGACGTGGTCCTGGGTTGCAATCAGGAGGTCTGGGCCCCCATTTCAGCACTTCCAGAGTCTTTTTGTATGACCTTGGTCGGTAACTTAGGGTAAGATTAATTCCATTTAATGTTGACTAATAATGAGGGTGTCTAATTAAACTAGTCATGTGTGCTCTCTCTCTGATCAGAGAAGGAAGAGAAAGCAAATTCAGAAGGTGAATCATCCTGTTTTAAGACTAGTGTCAGAGACAAATGAGATGAATTGCCCTCTGGAAGTAGCTATTTCTTTCCATTAACTGTAGAGGAAGTCTACATTAGAAGAGTTTAGACTAGATGCCTGATTTATGAATGGCTAAAGTTAAGTTAAGTTAAAGACCTTAATCTCTATGTATGCCTGTTTCTCCATATGTTGAATGATAGAAATAACACCTTCTGCACCTCACATTCAAAGGCACCATTGGGCGAGAAGCATCCAAAAGCTATTTTGGAATTAAATGTAATCTAGGAGCAGAAATACAACAGAGAAGTAATGCCTTTACTCTTGAAACATTTCAATGACAATATGAGCAGTACCACTTGGGGCATCCTGTTGCTTTTGCTATTTTTCACCTTTACATTTTGACAATTGAGCACCCATAAATGAGTGATCCCAAGGGGGCCATATGGCATGAGGGCAGTTAGTCTGTGTTTGGGGAAAGAAGTAGGAGCGCTGAGGAAGACAGACAATGCAAGGGAGTGTAGGACCCCCTCTTGGCCAGCAGTTTTGAAGGTTTTCCTTGCAATACTGCTCTTCTCAAGTGACAGTGACTATTTACTTTTTGGAAAATCTCCCAGAGGAATAAAAGCTAATGACTAACTGACAGAGTTAAAGAAAAAAATAAGGGGAGAAAAAAAGCTTGCATTTTCTTAGCAAAAATCCACAACATATAAACCAGGCATGGAATAATTGTCCCACTTGATAACTTGTACTCATATATGAGGCTTGCTTTAGGAAGAGAAAATTTGCCCCTTTAACTACCTATTGTAGTTAAAACAGGAAAAAAAAATAAGAAAGACAAAAAAGACCTTGTGTGGGTGTCCTCATAAGTGCTTATTTTGATCCAAATTCCAGCATATTACATATCTGTATGGGCACAGTTGTGCTCGATAAGGCTTTCATCAGCACAACCATGTCCAAAACACAAATCCCCCCACTGATGTCACTGTGTTATCGGGGGTAGGTGAGATACCTATAAGTCCATTAAATCTAATAACAGGTCCTTAGAGGCCATTTTGGGTTTTTTTTGGGTGTGTTAAATTACTAAATCTTGTTATTAACGCTTTTATTTTATGATTTGCTGTTTCCAGGGCACAGACAGAAGCTTGATGACTCTAAACCTAGTTTGTTCTCTGAACGCCTCAGTGATTTAGGGCGCATTCCTCATCCCAGTATGAGAGTAGGGGTCCCGACCCAGAGCCCACGGCCCTCTCTGAACTCTGCACCAAGTCCTTTTAATCCACAAGGACAGAGTCAGATTACAGGTAAGAGACAGAACCATAGGTTTGACTTGCACAGGCAACAGTAGTAATTGCTTATGGGTGTTTGTGTCTCAGCTGCAGTAAAAGAGGCTGTTACAGAGCGAGAGATGTGTTCCAAGCAAAGCTAGGTGGGAAGTGGATTTTTCTATAGTGTTTGAAGCTGAAAATGTCTTTATTTTTTTCAAATATCTTTTTTGCCATAAATCCAAAATAATCCAAAATAGTCAATCCGGGTAAATTGAGTAGGAATCGGGTGAAATTCTAACTGCCACATTGCTCTGCCTCCGTGTGTGCAATAGTACATATTAGTGTATAATAGAATGAACATTTTTATTCAGCCTTTTTATTTTGCACTCATGTTGAGGGAAGCAGCCAGCATTTAATGGTCTGTCAGATTAATAATACAATCTTCTCACGTGGCGGTTTCCTTCTAGCACCAGTGCTGACCACTGTTACAATAAGCGAACTGGGTTATGGAGAAATCTCCAAAGGTTGCTTGTGAGGGTTGTATGCAACATTTATGATTGCATGCTGAGAGACAGATTTCATTGTGCTGAGAGAAATCATAAAGTACCATGTGTCACAGATTATAAAACTGAAATAAGATGTTTAACTGCAGCTGTGCCAGAAGTTTGCAACAAAACGGTGAAGCCTACAAAATAAACTGATTTTGTCATTTTCCCAAATTCAGAGCTAGTTACATTTTTCAAAAGAGTTTCCGAACAACATCTGCCTAATATTGGCCATTTCTACACTCAAAATTTGTGCTGACATGTTTGTGTCTGTCCAGGATGTGAAGAGGTCTTGCCCCAGACCAATTCACTTGCTAAAACTTGGAGAACTTCACCTAGATGCCAGTCTGCCAACAAAACTCTTGTCTCAATTTACTAGACCAATTTAAAACTCAGTTCTGCTGCTACAGTTGCATCTACACCAGGAGTTCTTTGCCAGTGTTATGTACCAGTATTCCTTTACTGGTAAAGAACTCCTAGTATAGACATAATCTTTGAGTCAACCTAGGAAGATTTCTGGTTTCATGTTTCAAGTGGTTTTGACATGATACCAGCTGAAACTTAGCGGTTTTAACAAAGTGTTGTGGCTTTCTTCTTCTTTCTTTTTCTTCTTTTTAAAGTTCAACTGGTTTATTAATTTTCAGTAGGAAAGAGAAGTAAGTGGGTTAATTTGAACCCAAAGCTCTCACAGAATTGAAACAAAAAAATTGTTCCCATGAGCTGTGGCAAAGTTCTCCCAGATCTAGAAGTCTAGCTTTAACTAGTGGGAAATGCTTATATTATATTAAATATGTTGATAGTACCCATTACATGGTAGCTGCTGCCCACCAGCTTCCCAGAACAGGTTTTCTGGCCAGGCTTAGTATTTTGTTCATTGGACATGTGAAGTCAGGTCTCTTGTGCATGTCATTTTCTGGTCAAGAACTGCCAAACTAAAGCCCAATAATTTTTCTAACATGATGTCTTCTGTCTGGAGGTGTTTGGGGACATAGTTGGCAAGAAAACAGGAGGAAGATCTGGAGCTATAATCTGCTTTTTTCCTTCTTCCTCGTGCCTCCATAGTTTACCTATTGTGCAACACTATCTCTAGGAACGAAGGAGGGTGAAATTCTTCCTGACCCCATCTGGTGATCAGCTTATGCCCTGAAGCACGAGAACTGAGATCCCCTTGTAATTTTCCTCCTAGCTAAGTGTAACCTCATATGCTGCTCTCATTCACATAAATGCCTCCTGTAGAAAATGTTCTGCTGGGTTTGATTAATAGAGTACTTCTCTGCCTCGTTATGAATCAGCAGTAGCATTTACAGATCCGGGAGGTGAAAACTGCAGATGAGCTTTAAATAAGCCTGACTGGAAACAAAGCTATGTGGTGTTCGCTGTCTTCTCTGCAAATTTAAGAGTCAGCAGTTCAAAGTTCCATCTGCAACTTCATCAAGAGAGGGAAGATGCAGTGCTGGTAGGGCAGAGGGATGTGAGCTGAACCGAGGAAGGCAGGCTGACTTTCCCATCTATTGTAGAATATATGTTTTTCTTGCTGGATAAACTCATGGTTCTGGGATACTTTAGAATCCCAAATTGATCTTATTTAACCCAAAACAGTGAGGACTTGTCTGCTTATTAAAGTTTGCAGTGAATAAGGAGTCAGATACAGTGTTTTCCATGTTATTCCCCACCCTTGTCTCCTCCTCAATTTAGAAAAGTCAAACACCCAGCCCTCGAAGGCTACTCATTAGCTTTCTGGTAGCCCTCCCATTTAATAAGGTGATTAGCGTGAGCATGTTACATTGGTGCGAGCCCTGTGAATTGTGCTGTCTTCCCCACAAGGCTTTTTGGTGCTCTTCAGGATGTTGATTGTAATCTGTAAAGCTCTATGTGCTTTCATGTTCCTCCAAAGTGCTGGGATGCTTTTTGCGGACAGTCCCTCTGAGTTCTGGGATGAATGGCTGCTCGTTGTCACACAAACCGTGCCAACAGATGAGGCACCTCTTTGATCGGGTGTTAGGTGACCATGAGAAATTGCTAAACGTCTGCCTGTTCGGTGTGGTAGTAGGGAGTGAGCTGTTTGGGCTGTCCATCTCCACCAGTTCCCTTGTGGTGCAATATTCAGTGGGAATACCACTGGCTTCTTAGCACGGTCATTGGGTTGCACTGGCTTGGGTATGTATTAAAAGGAGAATAGACCCTTGTCTGAAATACAAGGAATTTTTTACTACCTTTATTGGAATTAACGAAGCATTCCTTTAGAAATACCTTTGTTTCTTAATCTTTTTACCTAGCAACTTAGGGAAAATAATTAATTCATAATAAATTCAACAGTAAATACTGGTTTCCTACAACAAAATCCATATTATTGCTAGTAAGCACATAAACTGTTTTTGTTTCATTTCACTTGAGGTCTTGTATAGTTATTGTGTGATTAAACAGAAATAATATTTAAAGCCTGGCTGCCCCACACCTGAATCTGAAAGAACTCAGCACTTTGGGGTTCCCTCTTATATTTCTTTTCTCTGTCTAGGTTGTGTTTATTTTCCTAGAGTATCAGAGTACAGGTTTTACAAATCACGGCACAGTCCTAAACCTACCACAGGACTGGGCTGTGGCAGTACAAGGCACAGAGTTGGCCTTATTTAACATGGCACTTTAACTAGGATTCTGCAAAAGCAACATTGAAGGGTCATTAAAAAAACAAATCGTCCAATAAGCAGATGCCTTTGCTGAGGCAATGCAGATTCAATTTGAACTCTGCTTGCTGCCTGTAAATCAGGAATCCTGTCTGTTCACATTTGGATACTGGTATATTTGCTTTTTTATTTTTTTTTTTTCCCTTTCCCTAACGGCACTCGCACAACTTGCTCATGTATCCAATTACATTCCCACTCAGACATAGAGCTGTTGCACCAGTGTTTCAGTATGAAACGAGGAAAACTGTTGTTCTTATAAAATGCAACCGGTGAGGATTAGCTTCTGTTGGCCAGGAAAACCCACAGGCATACTGGCAGGAATGTACTTGGTGCGAGGGCCCCGGCGGCTGGACTGCAGGGACTGCAAAGTGGGAGTTAAGTGAGGTTTCATGCTCCATCACCACTGTGGCACCGTCTGATCTATAGGCAACCTGTGACTTTCATCACTGAAATAACAGCGCTCAAAAGCAGGTCTCATTAAATCTTTTTTTATTCATTTTACTCTTCCCCTCCCCATGCACTTCAGGGGCGTTACGCTTTTGTTTCTCAGCATTTTTAGGGTCATAAGAAGCAGATTTAAAGGCTTTAGAGCTAGCTTACCTAGAAGTCAGTGAGGGGACCCATCTCCACTGGCAGGCAGGGACTGGTTTCAGGGACAGTGCAAACTGAGTCTTCTGGGAAGACCATGGGCAGAAAGCACCTTCAAGTCTCAGATGGAGGATGAGGATGGTGCTGGCTGGGCCCTCCTTAATTCCCCCATTCAGGACTTCCAGGCAATGGGCTGGACGCTGCCCGTTTGCAGAGTCAGGGAGAAGGCAGAAAGCTGTGCTCATCACAGCGTTGTCCTGGGCTCCGCCTATGAAGCTGTGCAGCATCTACCTCAAAGACCAGTGTCTGTTCTCCTGAGACCATCAGCTGCAGGACAGGTTTGAAAGAAAAATTGTGCAGCTGTTATTTGACTGGCACCATGCAAGTGCCCTGCCAGGGGTTGGCTGTGTTTTACCTGGGACCAGCAGAACTCCTGAAGCACACACCAGTTTGTAGCTGATACACATCCATCTGAGAGCTCATCAGACAAAGTACTTGGTTGCCTGGAACAGATAATTTAGAAATATCCCAAGCAATAGGCTTACAGGGTAAGTTATGCCTTCAGCTCACTGTAACATGGAATAAAAACTACAAGACTGGGCAGATGATGTGGTAGAGTTCGGATGGCTGCTGCCATGAACACAAGGGTGGCTGCAGCCTGCTGTATTTTATGCAAATTGATTGTATCCTTCAGGCGACTGGCAAGTTGCCATTGTGAACCTCCATTTGGTGAAGCTTGTGTCCCTCCTATTAAAGGATTCTTTTAACTTTATTTTCCACCCCCCCTTTGCAATTTAGTTGCCCTATTGGCATGACTTGTTCAGTTTATTTTTCCTTTAGAAATGTGACTCTTGGCGGGGGGGTGGGAGGAGAAATGGTTTTAGAGGTTCTTCAGGCCAAAATCTGGTCTCAATTATGCTTCTGTACATTGGGGTGTAACTCCATTGGATTTGACTTCATTGATTGAACTGGGCAATCCAGATCATGCCCTGGGCTTTTAAAGATGCCTAAGAAATAGTCAAAGAAGAGAAGGAGGTTGCATTTTTGTTGTTGTTGTTATTTTGCTGGGGGGAGTGGTATTACAACAATACTTGTGTTACTCATGCAGAAAGTCATCTTGGCTTCGTTAAGATCAGAAGTGTTGCTTTAAGTGTTTACCAAAGATAGCTCCAGACAGCTTGTTTTTCAGTACTGGTAGTAGCACTAGCACAATCAGCAGCAGCCAGTGCTAGAGCTGATGGCTGGATTTAAATGAAAGTGGTTTTGCAAAGTGCACGCATGCACGTGACTTTGGGGTCTTATAGACAGTACACCAAGCTGCGAGCCTGTGATCATGCTCTGATCATGTAACTCAGCTTGGGAAATTGATTTTTGTTTCTATAGTAAACCTGGGTGCTTCATAATCCACTGCCAAAGCAGTGGAAAAACTCGTTCTTCAGGGCTATTTATGGGTTTTTCCTTCTCTCCATTGATGTTTCAGGACATTACCGTTGAAGGAAGAGTTGTCATGTTGATGGAAAGCCAATGTCATCAGTGGGAGAATGGGTCACTGGGGCTTTTTTTAATTCTTTCTTTTCCTTTTTTTTTTAGTTTTAAACAGTGTGTCCAATCTGAGACTGATTTTTTTATTTTTGAAACCACTTACTGTCCATTAAGTATCAATGTCCATTGTCCATTGATGCAGTCAATCACAGACAACAAAGGACAAGAACCATGTATATCTCCCGCTGACTGTAAATGTATCAGTAAAACCTAGACACAAAATAATTTGTAATACTCAATATTTCCTGCTTAGGCAAGGTTTACCTGGCAGTGCAAACAACACGGAGCTGTTTGTGTATTAGTTTAGACCTCGCCCTGCTGACTTGTTTCAGCTGAGCAGTGCCCAGGCTTTCTTAGCATACACACGATATGCCCCGTTGTGAACTAATATGCTGAAAGCTGCACTTTTCTTCACACCCACGCAGGCATAACAGAAATGTTTACAAAAGGAGGACTGCTCTTAATAATCACTCCAAAATTTTCAAGTGCAAATGCCAACTCAAAGTGGCCCTCTGCCTCCTTTGCTGTTGTTGAATTAGCCCTTCCCCATGGTTGCCATACAGGAAGATGGGGGGGCGGGTTTCTCCCAGGCTGTTTGCTGTATTTTTATATTAGCATTTTCCCTTGTTTTGGAGACATTCCTTTAGGGAGGAATTCACATTTTCTCTGCCTCGGAGATCTAAGGTTTCTGATCTGTTCTGGGATTTTCGTGACTGGGAAGGTGAGCTGTGCCTGTGGAGCACATGGTGCTTTGGGTGACAGAGTAAAGTTCCTAGCCCACATGGACCCGGCGGACATGTGCGAGCCCGTCAGCCAGAGCAAAGGGGGAAGCTGTTCTTTGGAGTAGGAGGCCAGGGAAAACCTCTCATAAATCTGCTTGTAGTTTCTTCCCTGCTGGTACATGCTAAATAGCTACTCCACCCCTTCCATGCACAAGCGAGGAGGTGACCCTCCTAAGGACATCATTGTGTTTCCCTCAGAAGCATCTGTGTGGATCTGCTCTGGAAGTGCTGTTCTGGCAGCTGGAACTTTGCCACAGTGCCCCCAGCACCTTCCTTCACCCAGGGAGGTTTGGTTTGATTGTGTGTGGGACCAAAAGAGATGTGTTGGTTGGGCCTCAGCAGCCAAAATCTCTGTTCCATCAGCATTACAAGGAACATCTGCTGGTGGGACAGAGGGTGCCATGCAAGACCCAGGTGCATGTCTACCTTCAAGGACTCGATGGATCAGCTTTGGACTCTGCCTCACAACATTTTACTCTGGTGATTGGGCAATGCTGCTGAGCAGTGATGTTTACCCTATGGGCTAGCAGATCACCTCTGACTTGGCAAGGTGAGGGAGTTTTGCTGCTCTCTCCTCTCATGTCCATGCAAACCTTGGTGGCTGTCAGTCAGCAGAGGCTGATCTTAAGGCATTTACTGTAGGATCTGGTGAAACTTGTGTCTTTCTGGTTTCCTAGCAGGTCAAAGATAACTCTTGAAGCCAGTCAGCCCCAGGGCAAAATTCCCCATCCTGCCTTGACCATGACCTCAGCCATGCCTTGGTGTGGAGGAATCACAGTAACCCTTCAGCTTGGGGTATTGTGACCTTCTCCTCTGTCACTGAGCTCTGATGCATCCTCTGATGTTCAATTTGTTTGAGGATTATCCTCTTTATTATTTCCTATTCCCTGGGAAAAGATGATCTCATTTCCCTGGAGCTAAGTTGCTTGCACTGTAGTTTCAGAGGGGCTGAAGTTTGCATCTGAATGTCTGGGTTGAAAGTTTCCAGCCAAGATAAGCACCCTATTTTCTGAGTGAGGCACTCAGAGAGTGCCTGCACCTTAGAGAAATAACAAACTAAATATGCAATATATCATTATTGTCCTTAAATCTAGGTAGAAATCTCATCAAATGGAGGTTGGGTGAGTTACTCAAGTCCAACAGGAGATCTGCTTCAGAGCCAGAAGCAGTTAAGTCACAGCACAGTGTCTTCACTGACAGTCCATCCTCTTTTTTCCTCTTTCTCTAAAATACTTTGCAGATTAAAATCTCACAGTGTTGGACTCATGGAGAGCTGAAATCAAATATATATATATCTAAAAAAGAAATGTGGTATTGCGGCTTTGAGGTTGGAATGTGCTATAGAAAGCATGTATAAATTTAAGCTAGGTGTTGTAAGAATATAAGATATGTTTTTGGGTCAACTAATGGCCCATCAGCCCCATATTCTTCCCCTGACAGTATGAGATATTTTTATGAAAGACCACATAAGCCTTTGAAATACCACTTCTTGCCATTCATCCTTCTTGTGTCCACCCAGCCATTCACAGTTGTTGGACTGAGGATGTTAGGTGTAAAACCAAGTTTAACATGGGTATTCAAAGTGGTGAGGGTGCCAGAGACGCTTCTCATGCCATGAGGATTGCACTACCAGAAGTGGCATAAACCTTCAGAAGGCCGCTCCTTCCTGAGATTGTCACCATGTTAGACCAAATTCCTGTAAAAACATCCTCTGACGTGATTTTTTTTTTCCCCTAGCCTTTACCTGCTATATAATTTCCTTCCAGCATTGGAGCTGACCTAAAACCAAAACTTTTAGGGACTCTGTTTTGGATTCAGAAGCAGAGATTGAAAAGCTCTTGGAGTTTGAAGGAGCTTGGATTTAAGATTGTGCTCCTGACACATCATTAATTTTAAGATTGTTTTCCCAGCAAGCCTAGGCTTTCCGTTCCCAGTTGAAGATCATTTACCATTGACTGCATGGTGAATTATAGTTGTGGAATGAGGCAGAGAAATATGTCGATATCAGATATAACAACGAGCAGTCAGTCAGATTTGAACCTGTGCCAATCTATACAACACTAGCCTTGAAATTGTTAAAACAAAGAAGTTCATTACATTTAATGATCAAGTGTCCTTCGGATTTCTGAGGACTTTATGTTAACCATTTATATTACTCATCTCTAATATAAATGGCAAACTCCAGGAAAATCCTCTTAAAATTAAATTGGAAAGTTGGGGTTTTTTTATATATCTGTATAGTTATTTTGCTGTAAGGAAGTATCTGCTTTCCAGACATCTCTTCAAACAAATCATGTCTGAACAGAAAAAATAAACAAGGAGTAGCTGAAACTACAAGGTTTTGCTGTGTGGAAGAACAGGGAAAGGAGTTAAAAAAAGAAAGAGAAAAGTTGAATTTCCTGAAAAAGTACCTCTGCTTATGCCATGTGGCTATCACATTGCTGTCTGCCAAGTAGGGCCTTAGCACAATACTCTGATACATCAGGTTCTCCAAACTGAATGGACCTGATGTGCTTCACTGAAAATATTGGGGTGGATTTGGAGGCATATGCTACAGTTTCTAGGAGCCAGTTCAGAGATAGTTTTCTGTTTATTGTGCAGTGCCCAAAACAAACTTTGGGGTTGATAGTGCCTTGGTTTTATCCAGTTCAAGAAATTCAAGTAATAATTTATGAAGTATTCAGTGATATCTTTATCACCATATATTAACTGAGAGCAAATGGTTTATAAATCCAAACACCAGTGTGTAAAACTAGGTGTCTCTCTCAGTGCAGTCCACCAGTATTTTATCAAAAAATAAACTATTTATCCTTAAAATCATTTCCTCCGTAGTGAGCTGTAATGAGTACATTAAAAATCATCATTAGCTTCCGATAGTTATCCCAAACCGTTTGGTTTCATATTATTGTATTTGAGGTGACTGTAGGTAATTGGGCCAGCATCCAAATGTGACATTTTTGGACAGATGCTGATAAGATTGATGACATTTTCTTTCTTGGGTAGGATTTTCAGCACTGAAAACACTACTGTACAGTGTTTGAACTGGATAACAACTTGACAGGCGTACCAAGAGCTGACTATAGAGTCTCCCCACCTCTGAAGTCCACTTCCTAAGCTCAGACCTGGGTCTCATACTTGCTGTTTGCTTACCCATCCAAATCCTTGAGGACTGGTGAGTCTTGTCCAGGTCTAACAAGGCTGTTAGACCTGGACAAGAGACTCCAGGAATTTACAGCACAGCTGCTATATCTTTTAAAACTTTGCTCACTGCTCCATTCATTTCCACCTAAAAATTGTTATGGGGAGGGAAAAGCACAGAGTGAGGCTTGAAGGAGTTGAGTCCTAGAGGAGCAGGTTGTGTTTCATTACATTTTCATTCCTTATAGCACTGATGTATGTTCAGTAACCCCACCTCTTTCAGTTAGGCTGTTGATGCCCTAAAATTTTCTTCCTTTCTTAAAAATTTTCTTTCTGTTTTGTTTTTTTTTTTTTTTTTTTTTTTTCTTTTTTTTTCCTAGACCCCAGGCAGGCGCAGTCATCCCCGCCATGGTCCTATGACCAATCTTACCCATCCTACTTGAGCCAGATGACTTCACCGTCCATTCACTCCACAACTCCCCTGTCCTCCACTCGAGGCACAGGACTTCCAGCCATTACTGATGTGCCCAGACGCCTCTCAGGTAAAGACCGTGTTTTGCCTAAAACAATTATGCAGATAGGAGCAGGACTGGCAGAGGCTGCCTCTGTGGCCTCATACAAACCTTAAGAAGAAGAGTAAAGATCAATCGGTGATAACAGGGTTACTTCATGGCAGGCGGGGGTCAAAGTCTCTTTTTTTTCAAAGTGGAAGAGCTGCTGTTTTGCTCTAAGCACATATCATTTGAATGTCTCTAGGTTCATTTCAGATCAGACTATTTTAAATTTGTGAACCTGATTCTATGAACAATTTTTCCTTTTTTCTTTTTTTCCCCTACAAGAGGATGTTCACTTGCATGTTTTACAGTAACTGTGATAGTCTATATTTTTGGTGCTTTACTTTTGTGGTGTGTGTGATGTTAGGCATCCTAACAGATAGATGTCTTTATTTCTTCAATAGTTAAGACTAAGGTTCATTCTCCCGCATTTCAATCCAGTAGCTCAAGAAAGCCTATTTCCTTAGTTAATGTGTACTTAAGATGCCTATCAGAAACTAGCTGAGTCACTTTAGAGTAGATTGGACAAATTGTGCTTTGGAATGATGCAGGAGAGAGGAAAAATATTTAAGAACCTAGACAAGACAGCAGTGAGGAACTGAGACTTTTTTTTTATCAAACACATGTACATTTACATACTGTGCAATTAATCTCTAATGGTCTCAGTGATAAAACCATCTGTGTGAAGTAATCTGATTGCCCCAAAGTAAGATAGAGCCTGTCATGGCACACAGTCACCTTGTATATCTTGCCAAAAATGAGGAACCTTAGGGGAGGGAGGCTCAGTATTAAAACTCCAACCTTGCAAGTGTGGAAATATTAACAGTGTATGCCAAAAAAGCATGTGTAATGTAAAGAAAACCTTTATGATTCATTAATGAAAACCAAAGAATCAGTCTTATTACATCTATTTTTGCATGTTTGCAAGATATTATTATAATCTTGGATGATGCTGCCATACACCTGTTTGACTCACAGCCAGGTGAATTTCTTGCTGTCGTGTTTTCCCCTTCCACCAAGCTCACAGCACTGGAAATGTTGATCACTCGACTGAGCTGCATCACTGACAAGCTGAACTTCAGCCAGCAGGCGTGTAGGATTTGATTAGCGTAGACTCCTTGATTTCTTTCATCTTGGAGGAGGGAAGCTTTGTTTCTCAAACAAACAGCTGCAAAAACCTCTGCGGTCCTAGTGCTCTCTGCCTTCTCAGAGATGCCAAATATCTCCATGTGGGCCGAGGGTTGGAGGGTGGTGGAGCAGGTTTCTGCGGGCTCTCTGTGCAATGCGCTGACTTGGTTCAAAAAACTCGATCAGCTTGATGCTGAGGAAATGCTTTGTTTGGCCCAAAACAGGTTCCCTTTGAGTCAGAGCCTCCTGATGGTCTGTGTTGTCAAATGGGTTATTTTTGCAATTGTGCCCCCAGCAATACCTCCAGGAGAGGCTCAGCTGGGACCATGGCAGCTGTAAGGCCGCATACTTGCCCTGCAGCCCTTGCTAGTCTGTGTGTATTCAGACGTGAGTGCCTGGCATGTGGGCACAGGCAGAATGACTAAAAGACCTGGCTGTGTACATTATGTGGCCGCAGACTGAACTTTTCTGCTGTACTCTACAATCGGTTGCCTTCACGCTTCTTGCCCTTCATCTTTTGGGGGCTCGACCGATGCCTCTGCAATGCTCTTACCTCTTCGCAGTGTGGGGATCTTGCTTCCAGTTAGATTCAAGATTGAAAAATCAGACTTTGATCTTCCAAAAGTGCCAGAGGTTGTCTGCAGTGTTTTCCGACATTCAGAAATACAGAGTGGTGTTCCTGGCTGAAGGACGAGCTCTGATGCTCAGGCTGCAGGGAGGCGTGTTGCAGTCCCAGCTGCAAACCCTGCGGTTTCTCTCCAGGGTTTCAACCTAGCAGTGCCACTGGGAGGGAGGGCAGGATCCAGCCCCTTCTATGTATAAAGTAGAGAGGGAAATACAAGTCTAAAGCTGCCCCTTACAGCAACCAGTTTATCCCCTGCACACGGAGAAATATCAATCTCCACTCAGTTACTTGATACATCTTTCAGAGGAGAACAGAGCTTTGATGGGAGAAAAAAATGACTGCGAAGAAACTAAAAACTTTAGAAAACATCAGGCATCTCCAGTGCATGAGGGAGAAATTAGAGCTTTACAAGGCCTTGAATAAAAACAAACTTTGCTTTCTGATACAGTGGCAGAAATCTGATTATCAAGGCTGTTAAAAGTATACAAGGTAATTTTAATGATTGCCATATTTACTGCCTGTCGCTTAACATCATGCAGGAGGCAAAATGGGTAAAACTTCCCCCTTAGGCCTTGGGTGTCACACCTACAGGCAAAGGACTTCCTGCCTGCTGAAATTTCACATCACTCAGCCTTTCCACAGGCCTCCATGGCTCTGCCTAGACAACTGCTTAAATTGTGCTCACCCAGACATTGAAAATATACCATCTAATAAAGCAATGTGTCCTTCAAAAAAGTGGTTCCTGGTTCTGTTGTCAGTGACAGCCCTCAAGAGCTATTTTTTGATAACACTCCCATGACCAGAAACACATCCATCCCTTGGCCAAAATGGTGATGTTCCTCCCCATCCTGGGACGGGTACATCTCTTGGTGATGAGGATGCCTGTATTTCAATCCCAGATTAGGCTGAGCAACAGAAGAGGTTTGGGGCTGTAGGACAGGAGGTGACAGGGGACTGCCATAGCAGTTCATGAAGTTCTCCGTCCCTTAGAAGAGGGGAAAAGGGCAGCAGACTGCAACCTTGAGGAGTTATTCGGGCAGGCTGGTGTAATGTGGCTGAACTGGTCGTGTTGGTGTCTAGACTGATTTCTTTGCACAAGTGAAATGTTAACATGCATGCTGCAGACACGTGCAAATGAGTGCCCATGGCTGTCAGACTTCAAGTATTCATCTTTTATTCTCCAAATGGAGTGTTTTGTTTGTCAGTGCTGTGTTTGCAGTGTCATAGAACTAATTAATGATGTCACATATATTTGGGCAGTATTCAGCTACAACAGCTGAAAAGCAAAGCAAAAAATAATTATCCGGCATCAACCATGCAACTTTTGAACCACTGTTCTCTCTGGTGCATAAGTCTCATGTTCATATCAAGAATAAATAGAAAATAAGCTCATGAGGCCATGCAATTCACTTTCCTTTTTGCACCAACTCAGTCATAAAAAGAGCAGGATTCCCCATATTTTATTAAAATATCTGTCTGCTCAGACTTCCCCCGAAGACGGTGAAAGTTGTTGCCCTAGCGGATTAATATTCTTAATTAAATAATGTTGTAGTGGAAACCATGGGAATATATGAACATGGTCATTTTAGAGAGAGTTTTGCCTGAGGGATGTAGTCTTATTGCATGATTCATAGTAAATGCACTCAGTCTTTGTGTCCTATGCATAACCAAACTGCATGTGGGATGGGGAGCATGAGTGTCTATTATGTAATTAATGTATATGATTCATATAAATACACATCAGAGCCATTTTACATAAAGCTTTGGGACTGATCCAGCAAGTCCTCAGCACATTCAAGGTTCAGAGCAGGGAGTACAGGTTGGGTTGTTCCTGCAGTCACAAGAGGGCTGCTCTGCAGCAGGTGAAGGAGGTATGGGCATAGATGTCCCCAGGATAGACATCCATGTCTGAGACAGTCACTGTCCACTCCCTTTTGAGTCAGTGGGGACAAACTGGCATTTGCAGGAGTTTCCCAGTCTGCAGATGTGCTGTACTGGTCCCTGGCAGTGCGTTGGAAGATCCTATTTGTCTCTATGGGCTAAAGAGAGTCTAGGTGAGTAGTTCAGGTACAGGCACGTCTGATCTGATAGTCTGCCTTTGGTGAGGTGATTTAAGAGATGATTTAACTGTCCCATAAACATATCCATATCACAGCCTTGTTGCATTTCAGTCCTGGTTTAACCATGCCATGGTCTGCCTCACCCTGACCTCTATCTGCTCTTCAATTGCAGGGTTTGAGCTTGAAATTAATTCTGTTGAGAATACTGAGAAGGGAGATGGTGAGACTTCTTCTTCCCTTACTCTTTTCCTGGACCTCCTCACCCTTCTGCCTAAATGCTAGTCTCTTGCTTTTTGCTTCACCTTTGAGAGAGCCTTGTGGGGTCAAGATCTTAAGATGCTGGAGGACCTGCCCTGCAAGTGTAACGTGAACATGTTCTGTGCTGGCTGTGGAAGAACCTGTTCTGCACAACTGTGTTTGACAAATGCCCATATGACAAAGGAGAAAATGAAAACTGAACCTAAATAACAGGACCAATCACCAAACCTACCTTTTCCAGCCCCTGGTTTGCACTCTTTGCAGATAGTTGTCAGGTGGGGATGCTGGCTTCGTGCCCCCATACCCAAACTCTTCTGTCCTACTCATTGGAGTCCCTGCAGCATGCAAGATGGATTTTGCTGTTTTTATATTTACTATGTCATTGAACAGGGACATGATGAGATAAATGAGGGACACTGTGGGCTCAGCCTCTAAACAAAACAAGTTTGCAGACCCACCCCTCTGAACTAAAATGGCCAGAAAGTAGTATCCTGTCCAATAAATTACACAGTGGTAGGACCTGGGCTGTTAAATACCGGTACTGTTAAATTGTCAATGAGGTTGGTTTTGAGAAGGATTGGCCAGCATGGTCACAAACAGGTCCCAGCCGTGGTTTGGAAATGAGCAGAGTCCCCAACCTGTTCCTGTGAGCAGCTCAGAGGCAGCCACTCTGTTATGCAGGCTAAAAGGATTTAATATTACAGCTGTGGCCAGACCATCCCGGATGGATTGAGAGCCAGAGAATGGGCCCTGACCATGGGCTGTTTGCTAGTTTGAGTGCAGCCAAACTTCCCCATTAATTCATCTCATTCTGTAGATATCACCACATTGTTTTGGAATATCCTGGGCCTTCATCAGATATTGAATTTAAGAAATGCTTCTGTTCTCCCAGATCACTGAGGGCTGGCCAGTATAAA